GAGAAGGGAGTCGCAGTTGCAGTATATGAAATTTCCACACGTTAGTAACATCCTATCGCAGCGATTTGTATGGCACAATTGCAATTTTCAACATTTTAACTAATATGAGAGCTTTGATATTCTTTAAAGGACAAAAGCTTACTTGAGCCTCTGGGATGCTAATTGTTGAAAAACCACTGCAGGTTCATAATTGGCCTTATTAACTCACGCCAGTTACTTGGAGAGGCCTTTGCTTTATGCTACAGATGTACATAAACTTTGTGATACAAGAGAGCGGAAGGAATATTCACTTCAGGGTACCGTGCGTGGCTTAAAATGGCAAAGATCTGCTCTACCTGAGACCCCTTGGTTTTTACACACGCACACAGTAGTTATCGATTATAAACTATGCTTACTGTTATGACCCCGTTTTAAAATGAAAGATTATGCTTAATTAAATATCGTAGTTCGACGTGTTCGTCAGTTACGAATGCTGTCGTCGAGTTACATGGCTTATTAATTTCTCTCCTTTCCCAAGGTATTAACGTATGACTAAGGGCAAGTTTCTTTGACTCGTTGCTCTCCAACTATTTCTACCGTTTGATGTTTTAAGAGTCGGACGAATATCGCTAGATAAATGAATAAATATCGATCGTTATTCACTTGTATCTGTTTACCACTTTTATTAAATGCTTAACACAATATACAATGAATTACCGGATGATCACTAATGCACCCACTGACCGCTTCTACAGGCTACGGAGGCTTTGTAACGTGTGATTAAGAGGTCTTTTCCCGCCGTTTTGATAAGAAGGAAAGAAGATGCAAAATTTTAAGCTGCTTTACTTGAATCAAGTCTGTAGTATTTTGCAAGCTCCACGTTTGTTCCGTCTGTCACATTATTATGGTAACTGGTTGAGTGATCAGAATAACTTGCACTTCGTCATTAACTTTCTTATAAACCTGAGAGGAACTAGTTTGTCGAATTATCTGGAAATGCTGACTCATTGTTTTCAAGTTTGTCGCAGGACTGAAATATTGGCAAATTTCGTGCTTAAAGAGGAAAAAAATGTGTTTACCTCGAGATCTGTGAAAGAAAGCCTGTTTTTGTAGCACAATAAACCCACGAGAGTAGTTTATTTTTGTCTTCAGCGACAAAATAAATCACGTTTTTACCTGGAATACGATTTCAGACAAAAATTGCACAATATAATACTGGCCACTTCCCTACAACTGTTTAAAATCGCAAAATTTAAACGCCCAAATACATAATTCTAGTTTATCATATCGCTGGCAGTGCCAATGAGTAATATGAAGAGTGCTCTGGTTGGCTATCCGAGCGGGCAAGATGGGCCCATTCCGCCCGACGGAATTGCCCGCTCGGGATTGCCCGCCGGCTTTGATCCCGCGCAAGGAAAAAGAAGTGTGTAACGGACTTAAATAATTCGAAATTTTGGGACAATGTCGGCCATGGAGTCGCAAAAAGCGGCAGAAGATAATAATAATAAGAAAAAAAAAACGAAGCAAATATAAACGAATCTGGTCGTTTTATTGAGCTACAAACAGAAATGACTATCCATCCCGGCCCTCGAAATAAATAAGTCATTCTCGATACTTAAATGTTAGAAAGCGAAATCTATTTGCTTTATGATAAATTCTTGATTGACCAAGCCAAGAGCCCATTACTTAATTGGCTCCTGTCAAGCTTGTTCGCACAAGATAGCTCAGCCTCGTTCTTAATTGCGTTTTTATTGGAAAATAAAAACGAACTCGGGCAATATTCAGCACAAGCGAATAGTGCTTTTCGCGCGCACTGATTGGCTACTTCGGAAGCATTAGGTAAGTACGGCTCTTCACCTCTGAGCAGCCGTGGAGACAAAATCGAGCGTTAACAATCTAACTTTCGACCATTATTGGGTATATTGACAGAAATAAATTGATTTTTTTGGTTTCTTTGTGGTATGTGTTAAAACAATTTTCGCCTCCGTGTCGGTGAAATTTATGGAAATTAACCACTATTTACCTCCACTTCGGTGATTGTTACTTGGACAACTCAGACATCTTACTGATCCAGTGGTGAGCTGGTTTAAACAAACAAAAAAGTTCTTAGGGAAAAAGTTTCAAAATTTGTGTTGCTGCAATTTGATCAGTTACTTCAAACAAGCCTTGAAATCTATTTGGTTGTTTTGGTTTAGTTTTGTTTTCTTATTGGCTGGGAGAAAAATGCGATTTTGAGCAAAAATAGTGCAACTAGTGAATTAATCGCACCGCTGAGAGCCAATCAGAGTGCAAGGATTATCAGTGATTTCAAAACGGTTGAAAAATATCCTTAAAGCACATTTCTAAAAGTCGATCGGAAAAATTAGAAGTGAAATGATGCCGTGTTTCAATCATCCCAATCTCTTAGAAATCTCATATTTTGTGGTTTAGTCATCCATGACAACTCAAAGCTAAAAGAGTATAACCTCGATTGTGAAGCTTCCCTCCCAACTAGTTATCACACACGCTTCATGGCGTTGGAAACACTGTGATTAATCGTTTATCGATATTATCAAGTATAACTGTTACGTTATAACATGATTTTTTCGTATAGCCATGTTTCCCTATTTCCACAGAATAATTCTTTTTTAGAACAATTTTATCGTTGTCATCCTTATGGGGCTCTGTTTGGTCAGGGTTAGCGATAGTTTGAATTATCAAATGTCTGATGTATACCACATCACTTGACACCCAAAAGCTCTTCCTTTTTTTTACTGGTAATAAATGTTTCTTTATTAAACGCTCCATACTCGAGCCCAATTAATGTGATTGTATTGCAGGGTTTTATATTCCCCACCCCTCTGTCGGTCTTCCTCGTGGTACATTTTAAAAAGCCTTCCTTTTTTCCTCTGTCCTATACGCACGCGCCTTAGCATGAAAAGAAGGATCTTAGAGCCACGAATTCTGTCGGCCAGCGCCTTCCTCTCTAGCGGTATCTCAAGCTGTATGCTTGAGTGTTTATTCCCCTGCTGCCATTTCGATTTATTAGTTTAAATGTGTTTTTTTTTAACGAGTGATGTTAGTGTGTCTGTCTAGGAGGTTGAAGAGAAATATAATTTCCAAGAGGAGCTTCAAATCGGTGTCGAAACTTCTATTTAGATTCATTTTGCAGATCGTCTTCCGGAGTAAATTTCGTCGACAGGTTGTTGTGAGGTTGGAGTGAAATAGGGGCCGTGAATTTCCTCGATTGTCATTTCCGTGTAAAACAGAATTCCTCTTTTCTTTAGTCTGTGTCTACATTAACATTTTTCCTCTAGAAGCTCGAATAATTATTTTAATTATCAAGCGTCGTTCCGTTAATGAAGGTAACAGTCCAAGAGTTCTCCGTAACGCACGAGCACGTTCATTCAGAGTTTCAAATAATTTTTAATTCAAATCTGTCATTCGACGTCGCTTCCGTCATTGTATTTGCTTTTAGTTTCTAAAAAGCTACTACTCGGATGATCACGAAAGCTCCGTCTTTGTAATAGTTCTCCCAACAGTTGTTGCAAGGTACTGTACATAGTGCTTCTCTCGACAAATCTCTTTTCTGAGTGGTAAGAATGTACTTGTCATTTCTATATATGTCATTTCCACGCTTTATCTTTCCATACAGCCATTGGGCTGAATAAAAAAAGCTACAAGTGTGATATGAAAGCTTCCGCTAATACGAGGTTGAGATTAAAACCAGAAATGGTGATACGCGAAAGGCGACTTCTCCTTCAGTTTTAATAGTCTTTGACTCAAACCAATCCGTCGAAGAGGCTTCGTTCAAGCATTTCAAACTCGAAACAACGAACTTAATAATTGTGACTTACGCAAGAGGGATAAACTTTCCACTTCCGGGTGAAAAGCGTGGCTTAATAAGCAACCTCGTCGGTTTGCGCGTGAAACTCAACTACTTTATAAAAAGAGAAACAGTAACATCGTTCGTGATCAGCGATTTTACAAAGCAACCAAATTATGTTGATACTGGATGGAGCGTTGAAATTCGGTTTACCGCAATTCAATAGTTTTTTGCTAAGAACGCAGTAACAAATCAAGTCTAATAATTTCCAAAACTTTGCTAACTTCCCTTGACAACGTGTGTTCAGAAGCAAGATAGTTCTCTAACTTATTCTGCCGCTTGCGTTTCACGAGTCAGTTGATTGTTTACCACGAAGTACACCAATATCGTTTGCTTTCTCCTCCATTGTTTCCCTCTTTTGCCAAGTCATATTAAATATAGGTCATTCACTAATTACCCATTGACAGATCTTTTGAGAAATAACAGGGTTGTACTGAAGATTTAAGCGCTGTTGATGATCCAATTCTTTTCCTCAACGTTTCATAAACCTGTACAATTATTGGACGCTTTGCGGTAGCTATTCTTGGTTTGTCCTTGCATCGCAAAATTTTAAAAACTGCTCGGAAAACCTATATTCTGGAAAATAAATTAATTTCATTCGTCAAAAGCGTTAGACGACGAAGTAGGAAGTTCAACGAGAAACACCAAATCGAAAGAAGAGCTCGTAAATTTTCTAGCCGCTGGTGATGTTTTTCAAAAATTCCTCATCTCAACCGACCTGCGCGTAGGTAAACATAGTTGTATATCATTACAACAGTGGAGATACTTCAAATTATCTTAGCAATCTCACGTACTGAGAAAGCACATAATGCGTTCAATCTGGCGAGATTTCCTGATAATATTACAGCCATTAGTAGCAAAAATTTCAACGCGTAAAAACGTAACAGAATAAGATTCAGAAAATTTCTGGCTTAGCTGGAAACATTAATAATAAATAACTTTAAAAACAGCACATTTTCTTTTATATGAATAGTTAAGCAGTTCTTACAGATAACTGTACAAACAAAGAAAAAAGTCTGGACGTCTTATTCTTCTTCAGTAATCAAAATACTTATGGTCTTAACTTCTTTAGAACTCAGCTACTTTCAATTTAATTTGAAACATTGTATGCAACTCAACCCCAAATCGACAAACACCAATGAAAATAAATTTTGTATCATGACAATACTTCAATAAATAACTAATTTAATCATAGCCATTACAATTTCCTCAAATGTGATTGGTGCAGTAGCTACTTTATTTTTCACTAATTGTTCTGTAGAGTTGTAATCGGACAGTGTAATTGGACAATCGGACAGTTGAAGTAGCCAATCATACTTGGTCCTTTCAGTCAAATCCATTAATCACAGAATTGATCACCATAACCATAGCAACAACCTCTTCTAAAAAAGTTGTGGAATTTCCAAAGTTGAGGAATATTTTACTTAGACATTGTCTCTACTGCACATATTTGTCCTAAATGTAATAATTGTTGTCGGAAATTGAAACAGTTATGATTAATTGGTAACAGGACTTTGTGTCATCCAATTCTGTCTGTAATCATACTCGTGATTGACAAATCGGACTCCCGCCTCGCGTTCGTCCGATTTTGTTAATCACTCTTATGATTAAAGACCGAATTGAACTCCACTCGGTCCTATTACCATTATAAATAACTGAAATTCCTAAAACAGTATAGTTAAGTACAATTTTCCAATGATATTTAAAAAACTAGAGAATGATTACCAAGCTCACTTTCCTTCTGTTTGAAAGAAAATGGTTAAATTTAAAGCAATTGTTGTAATATCTACAAGGTATTAAGAAATCATGTAAAACAATATCCTTTTTTGTTATCTTCAGAACAAAAGCACCTTTTGCTTCAATCTCTCTGTACTTTAAATTCTATCATACTCAGTTGAAATCACTTTTAACCCTTAAACTTTAAAGATCTGATGATTAACTCTCCCCTCTAGCTGGTACATATTTCTTTGTAAATCGGTAGCAAGAATTTGGTGACAGATCAAGACAACTACTTCTACCTGATAAGTTTGAGTGTTCTCATTACCTTTTTGATGGATAATGTGTGGATGTTATGGGGAGAAGTTACATGTCAATCACTTCCAGTAGTTAAAGGGTTAATCACCACCCCCCTTCCTCCACCCCCAGCAAAAATGCAGGGTGATATTAAATTAAATAAAATTCAAAGCAAGCATAAAATGGAATAACACCAAGTACAAATGTTCTCAAACAACATGAAGTGGTCCCCTACATCGATCACAACAGTCATAGGTTACTCTAAAGTTCCTTGTTGAAAATCTGCTTTGATAATCATGTCCCATGTACTGCTGTGCCATTCTCTTCCTAACACCTTTCAGCTGTTGTTCCTCTGCCTGGAGATTGACATCACTAGATAAAACCTAGATAAAAAGAAACCCAGGGAATTATACAATTCAGTCGAATGAAAACTATGATGTCTAGTATTCTGACCCATGGATCTATCTCAAACCTTCCTGTCATCATAGTTGCATGCCTGTTTTGACAAACCCATCACACATTACTCCAAAGGCAAATTCATCTTAAAACTTTTTGTAATGTGCCTGGTTTATTGAGGGTTTCTGTAACTATTTCCCTTAGCAACTGCAATGACATAATAGGTGGCTGTGCCCAGAAAGAGGCCATAAGGCACACCACAACACAGGATCCTACTCATAACTTTTTAAGGTCTCATGGTTGGCAGAAGACTGCATATAAGACCTCTACAAGAACTATCAAACCCCTGGTTTATCCAACAAAACAAGCTTGATGCAAGACCACATTTGTGCCTTCCATATTTAACAATAAACAATAGACAGCTTGTTTGTGGTGTAAAAACTTTAAAAGTACTTAAAACATACCTAATACTAAATCCACCTAATAAAAACCTTCCTTAAAAAATTACACCAGTACCCAAATATGCCTGCTTCATTTAATAATCTTAGCAAGTTATTTTAAAAAAAGACAATTTCTAGCTGAGAAAATGTGAATTTAAATTTAAAACATTACTAACACTTATGTGATCATGGTTCTATGCTTTGGTTTTACATGTATGCCTCCAGGCTCCACTCTTTTTTCCTTAGAGAGAGGAGCCTGAGGTGATCTTGAATGGAGGTGCCACCACGCAGTTGTAAATTACCCAGACTAGTCTCACCTGAAAAGCCAGTTTTTCAGCAGATGTTGGCTCAACCTGTTGCTGATTCCCAGTTTCCTGCAACTCATGTGTCAACATTAGAGATGTTTCTGCTAATGAGAAGGCTGGTAAAACATCTTGTGCAAGACTAAGGGTCTGTTCTGCTAAGGACTTGTTTGTAGCAGCCATTTCTAAGATGCTTTGATCATTTGAAGTTTGAGATGAAGTAAAGGGGCTCTGATGAATGCCACTTGTACTTTTGAACATTGAGTAAAGTGATTGAACTAACCTGAAATAACAAAAATTAATTTATGGATATATTATGTCAAGGAAAATTTGCATCCTCGTTTAATTAAGTTAGATTATCACCAGGGCTACAAAATTTAAGTTGAAATAGGTTTCTTTTATAAGATATTCTCTTTTTAAAGGGAGGGTATTAATGATTATTGCATGGCAAGGTAGTCCTGAAATAAATAAAAGCACTTTGATTGGTTCTTAATTAGTCCTTGTTTTGCCATATGGACCATTTCTACCAAAACTGTCATAAGCTGTGTAGTTTTGGTTTCAAAAACCAGCAAACAAGTTTGGTCTGAGTGCCATATAATAGAATACTCACCAACCTTGCTTGCTCAAGCCACACTGGGGTAATATTAGCCCTTGGTTGTTTTTGTACAGACCTTGCTGCACTCAGTCTATACTTCCACAACCTTGGGCCAATATTCCTTGGTATGGCTTTTGATCTCAGTTAGTCAGAAGTTATAATACCTCTTGGTATGAGTGAGGTATTGCTGAAGCTGTCCCCTTTCCTCCAGTAATCTTTGTAAAGCACTCTGAGCTTGTCTGAACCTGGTGTAGAGAGTTGCCTTCCAACTGGACAGTTCATCAGACATCATTCTGAAGTGAAAAAACTTACAGAGATCAATTCATGTTTCTGGTTATAGAATAACTTTAAAATATCTCAGGGGCATCTTGCAATAGACTGGCATCCCAAAAGGAGTGGCAATACTCCTGATCATTATATGAAACAGAAAATATGCCACTTTTCTCCTGGAAACCCTCTTTACCTGCTTGCCAGGAACTTTGTCCTCCAGACATCACACTCAATCTCTAATCTGTCAGATTCTTCTGAGTATTCCTCGCACATCTTTTTCCAGTGATTGAGCTCTACAGTTTGCTGCACATTTCTGTTCACCAGGTCTTCCAACCTAACCAAGATCAAAACAAACAGGACTCATCAGGAAAGTTAGATATGACTTCTTGTGTGAGACAATCAAATTTTCTTAAGGGGGGAAAAATACTGACAGAAAAAGGTTTCAACACTTGGGTTTTCTTCCTGTCTTTTGCATTGGCTAAATAAACCTAATTCATGTGCAATGATAAATACACTGCAATCAAAGAATTCACTAAATGTAACAATGGATGACATGACTACCTCTGCACAGCAGGATTTCTCAGCTTGAGAACAATCCAACTCGGTGTGGGTAACATGGCAAAGGGGTAATCTTATTTTTATTCAGAATCTTAGACAGATTTCCAAAATGTCTGTAGTGGAACCCTTCCACCCTGTCAACAGATTCCTAAGTTCATATGAACTATTCCCCCCCCCCCCCCCCAAAAAAAAAACATTCCAATACTCTTTATATATTTGAACTGATAGTTTAAAGTACCTTTCACCAACATCTTCTCCCACTGATGCTACCAACAACCTCTTAATTTCTGTATTAATCTGGAAAAAGACAACTCAATTTTAACAAGCTTTGCTTATGTTATATTTTCCATCACCAATTGGCCAGCCAAGTGTGCTGAATATCGGGTGTCCTGCTGACTTACAGAAAATGAAATAACCTAAAATCTCTTAACATGAAGTATAACATGATGTAGGAATAATTTCATTTTTAATCACTTCTGGGAGTGAACTCTTTTCCCCAAAGACTTGCTAGCATAAATTTCACTTTACAGTATCCCCCCTGAAACAAACATTGAGGTCTTAGGACTAAAGGAAACAATCACCATCTTAAGAAGCTGTTGATTGTTAAGTGAATTTTCCTTGTTGTTATTATGGAAAATAGTCAAATCCACCAATCACAGAATGGTTCACAATAACCATAGCAACAACCACTTATCCTAAAAAAGTTGTGGAATTTCCAAAGTTGAGGAATTTTTTACATAGACATTGTCTCTACTGCACATATTTGCCCTAAATGTATTAATTTTGTTGTTTTCAGAAATTATAACAGTTATGATTAATTGGTAATAGGACTTTGTGTTGTCCAATTCTGTCTGTAATCATACTCATGACAAATCAGGCGGTCATTTGGTACATGTACAGGGTCATGCGCCACATTCAATTTGATCAAAAGTGAGTCAGGGAAACTGGGTCTTGCATATTAAGGACAGACTTACATGTAAGGCCTCCCCAAAAATGTCATGGAAAGACAAAATGGCCCTTTTAACCTGCTATATTCACTGATGCCTCTTTCTAAGTTAGTCTTTGTCATTCTGCTTTCTTTTTTTTTTTTCATAAGTTCTTATCCTAAATATTTTAGTATTACCAATAGAAATTGGAAAAAGAAAAGAAGAAACACTTTTTTCCATCATTCTTTTTGTAAAGTTTACTAAAAATCTTTGCCCTGATGTACTTAACCCAAATATTTTGACATGTGTCCAACTAAATTGAAAAATAGGTTCTTTGCAAACCTTTGTCTGGACACCAAGCTGCACAGAGAGTTTTGTCTTCTCTTCAACAAGCTTTGCATTCTGTTCCTGAAGATCACTGATGACTTTCTGGCTGTCCACAAACTCAGCCCTTTGTTCCACTATAGTAGATTTCAAGAGACCACCTCCAAGACTGAGATCCATTGCAGGAGGAGCCAAAGACACAAGCTGATCATTTGCACTTAATGATAAACCTAACTCATTATTCAATCGCAGAAGCTCAGGCCCTTGGAGTAGAAGATTGGTAGAGTTCTGTCTTTGTACTGACTGAAAACGGACATCCTCATTTAACTGTGCACCTTCAGTTTTGGAGATAACATCTTTTCTCAATGTCTGTGATTGAGGGGATTCAGCTAAAGCTGTGTGACCACTCAATGTTCGCATTTCCTCCCTTTCAAGAATTTCATTCTCATTTCTGTATTTTATTGCTGAGATATTTGCTTGTATTGTTGTACCAGTTGTTATTTTAGCTGATCCATGATCAATTCCGTTTCTTCCACTTTTCCTTTTCAAAGTTGAATATGATAAACTGTTATTTGCTTTTTGTGTCAAGTCATTTTCTTCACTATCCTCTGAGAGACTGTCATTGCCAGAATTGCTTAATGAAAATTCCATTCCATCCCCACTGGATCTTGGTAACTTACTGTAATCCACTGAGAATGAACAAATGAAAACTGATAATTACTTTTAACATTCAGGGCTTTCATTATGGGCAGAGCACTGGGAAAATTGACCAGCTGAGGACAGAACTTTGCCCAGCTGCTTCTTCACATTTTATATAGCACTGTCCATGTCTTTTTTAGAACACTGTCCACAGTCTTAAAAAAAAAAAGTGACTGTCTTCCAAATTTTTAAGGATGTGCATTCCCCTGGAATCCCCCCCCTTCCCCCAGCTGAGCAAGGCTTCTTGGGCCTTGCAGATTTTATCCTGATGGCCTCTTGTTAAAAATCTTATTGAAACTGCTGAACATCTACTAGGTCTCACTCTTGTGGAAATGTCTGATGATGAAAGAGATTCATACCAAACTTGAACACCATTTTACTGTACAACATTAAATTCAAGTTCGTCATCTTTTATACTTAAAAGGGTTAATTCAGTGTTACCATACCCAAAACATTTTCACCATCCTTTCCACGATTGTGAGGAAATTCTATTAAAATAAAAAAACATTTGTCATGATTTAAAAACGAAATGGGGACAAAACGTTATCAATAGGGATAATTCATACAACAACAGCCATAGCACTTCCTTTAAAATCTAGTAAACGTTAGCTTACCGTTCCATCTCTAAAGGAAGAGGTTCACATAGGGTCGCCATGTTTTTTGAAGATCAACCACCAACAGCTTAGCAAATGCCGATCAGAACTGTGCATATATTAAACTGGTTCAGAAGCTGCGAAAGGGGAGAACACTTGAATGTAAGACTGAAAAAATGAAACATTATCAGTTTGTCTAAATCGCGATCAAAATGTTACTTCAAGGTACCAAAATATAATTATAAAGGTAAATCTTGAAACAACACAGATCAATTTCGTGTTACAAAAAGCCAATAAGTAACATGATTACTCACTCGAAAAACCAGCCTAAGGAAAGTTTCCTTGTTTTATACTGTCGGTTGACAACGTGGAAGTTTCTAGCTCATCACGTGAATGGTAAAAAATTACGCAAATGGTAGGATGATAAGATTTCCGGGATGAGGAAAGATCCAGTTTATCTAACTCTTGAAGAATCTGAAAAAATCCAGCTGATAATTCTAGGGTTATTCGTATTATTTAAGCTTGATAAAATACCCCTTGGTTGAGCACAAAACTTTTAAACCGAAGTCACACCAAACGTCCGCCATGTTGTTTGAAATGTCCCAGAGTTCTTTGCCGCAGAAAGAAAATAACTGTAGGTCTTTCCGGGGAGGAGAAAGTGAGTTGCATTTTTCACAGCTGTTAGGGAACCAGTGCGTTGCGGCGAAAAAAACTAAAATTAATTTGAATGAATTTAGAAAAATTTCATTGAATTATTCATGATCTTTTAACTGCATCAGTTCGGCTTACTTTGCTTTTACTAATTTTTGTCGTAAATCTGCAAAACGTACCCCTCCCTAGAGAATAGTTTTTGTGCGTATAAACATTTTAATTGTACGCGCTTTGTTTGAAAATGGCGCGTTACGCCCGCTGGAATTATTAGGTTAAAAAGTTGCTAAATTAGCCTAGAAAGAAACCCGTTTCATGGCGTCTAGGAATAGGGAAAATGGCACCAGACTTCGAAGAAAAAGTACAAGAGAATTAATTGGAGAGGAACGAAAGATCTCAAGTTATTACAACTTTGTTACGGACGGTGAAGAAATCGACAGTGATTTACCTGTACCAAACTTGTCCTTTGGCCTCGCATCCACCCTTGTTACCTGTGTGTCTGTTCTTTGTTATTATAATTCATGCAAAGGCGAGTTTGTCTTCGACGATTCTGAAGCAATTGTGGCGAACAAGGACTTGACGCCCGACATCCCGCTTGGAGAATTGTTTTATCATGACTTCTGGGGTGCGAACATCAGTTCCAACACCAGCCACAAAAGCTATCGTCCCTTCACTATCCTAACATTTCGATTCAATTATTGGCTCGCAGAAGGACTGCATCCCTGGGGGTTTCATGTTGTCAATGTCACACTCCATGCTGTGGTGTCAGTCTTATGTCTGAAACTCTTTTCGATCATTTTCAGTGGTAAAAATAATGTTAAATTTTATTGTGATAATAATTCCTCCGCAAGAACTCATTTCACAGCCTCAAGGGCAAGTTTAGTCGGTGCGATCCTTTTTGCTGTTCATCCAATCCACACAGAGTGTGTAAGTACGAACATTTATTTTATTTCACTGTTAAATTTTTACTTATTTGACCTTAGCGTAAGTTAAGAGTTAAGTAATTTTAACATCTCATTATTATTTAATGTTGTCCTTTCCAAGCTTGTCGCAGGTAGTTTAATTGAAAGCTTACTTGCAAGCTTGAATTTTTAAAGGTTCAAAGCCGTTTTGCCCAAATCTGTTTAATTTTATCAACTGTTCCTTGCTTCCTTTTTTTCTCAGAGATATAGTCCAGTGCATGGCTAAAGCAGTTTACTTTCTATTTTAATTTGTTTTGGTGATATTTTATATTTAAATGTTATAAATTATTTAAGATAGTACATGTGCTCTCACTGGTAGATAAAATAAAATAAACACGGTCGTGATTTCACACTTTCTGTGTTTTCCAGACATATTTCATTAAAGCTACTGAAGGCTTTTTTTTCCCTGTTTGCATAGAAAAATCCTAACAATTGGGGTTTGGGAGTATTCTTGAAAGTTTTACAAACTTGGATTTACATGATTTTCTCAAATTCTCCCAATCCCCTCTGTGTTTGGTTTAGGCTATAGTTAAGTGGAAAAAGTCCACTTTGCTTAAGTATTCTCAAAAATGTTTACAGTTGAGTGCAAATCCTTGAACAAGAAATATTATGTTGTTGATAGTATTTTTCAGGGAGATACTGTTATGTGAGGCTTTCTTGTATGCAGATTGATTATAATGATTTATTCTAAGGAAACTGATTTTTGTGCAGGACTACATGTTTAACACCACAGGTTATCAACAATCATGGGTTAGCTGTTTATAAAAACTACCCCACATGCATGTGCTGTGAAACTGAAATTTAGATTTAAAATAATTGATCATACAAGTAACTTAAATGATGCAGCCCAGAGGAAAAACCGTTGTCAAGATTTATGAAATCAGTGTACTTTCATTAGGCATCAGGGATTGGAAAATTCTCTGACATCTCTGCAGAATTCTCTAGCAAAGTTTTGATGGCCTTAGATATTTTTTCATATTCTTTATGATATGGAAGATAATTTCTGTGGCCTATTATTTATGATATGGAAGATTACTTCTATAGCTAATCTTAGAGTGGCAAATTGGATTTCATGGTAAACAAATAAGTAATTGATTGGGAACACTGTTGATCACCGGTACCACCTTGAAAGATGAGATCCCTGCTCTTCTTTAATGAACCACTGAAAGCTGTAGTTAATTAATAAGATGCCAGAAATTTTGCCAAATCTTATCATAAAGTAAGTTGTTTGTGACAAGGACAATTCTCTGTACCAAGCTTCCTGATTTTTGCTTTAATAACAACTGAGTTGATAAAGTAAATTGGCCTTGGTAAGGATTTCCAAAAGTGATGTTTCAAGCATTAGTCCTCCTTCAGAGGGAATAATGAAGGCCAACACTGTAATGACTCTGAGTGGGTTGCTGAATTGATTTTATTCCAATAATTAGGACTTGTGTACACAATAATTTGGTTACTGACCCAAGCACATGGAACACACTCTAACACACTCGCTAACACACTCTTGACGCGCATGCTCACTCATTTGCATAAATGCATCTCATTACAAACACTGGAAATGTCAGCTTTAAAACTCTTTACAGTGGCCAATTTACATTATCAACTCAGTTGATAATACCAAATTACCCTGTTATACTCTACCACTGATGCAGCACCACAGTTTCTTTAGAAACTTACCCCCTTTATTCATTTGATGTTTGCATTGCTGAGTGAACATGCTGACATATTATTTTGTTTTCTGTGTCAAAGGTGGATATTACATGCCTCAATAAATTTTGAGGAATGGCCTGCTAGAATCATGCAATATGTCAATAAGGCTTGAGTATGAAATATTTTGTTTTTTTTATTTATTGACATATTTTTATTTACTTTTATAGGTTTCAGGTTTGGTTGGAAGGGCAGATCTTCTTGGTGCTGTGTTTTTTATCCTCTCATTTCTTTTTTATGTGAAATGTTGTTCTGTTGGTGAGTATTAATCTAAAATGTCAACATAATTTGTTTTGGGACTGTGTAGCCTATAACAAGGCCAATTTAATGATTGGTTGATTGCTATTTACTATGTATTCTGTTAGCTCTTGGAATGGTGAGTATTATTGGTGAGTATTAATCTACAATATAAATCTATAATGTAAACACAATTTGTTTTGGGATTGTGTAGCCTATAACAAGACCAATTTAATGATTGGTTTATTGCTATTTACTATGTATTCTGTTAGCTCTTGGAATGGAATTAATCTTATTATTGTGAACAAATCCTGCGAGAAAAGCTGTGTGTTCAAGGATATTCAGTTTTAACTCTTTACCTTAAGAGGGACCAGCTTCTAATTTCTCCATTTTGTAGTATTGTTGAATCACTCTTTTAGATCACAAGAATAGAGAAAATGATTGCCAAGCTAAGAAGCTTAAGTGTTGAACAAATTCTCTTCGTCAATATTTAAGGAAATGTATGGAGAAGAGTTTGGAGAATATGGAAACTGATTTTAGGGTGTAGAGGGTTAAGGAATTATGATGAAAAGTAAAGACAGATGTTGTTTATCTTGTCACAAATGTAGCAAAGAGATAAAATCTGAGTTCATTAGGAGGAATCAAACCCCAGACCTACAGATTTTGCACTGTGATGCTCTAACGCTGAGTTACAGAGAAGTCTATGGCATGCTAAGCCATTGCAAGGTTCATATTCGAAATAGCTAAAAATGTTTGATGTTTGCAGATTCTGATGACAATGGATCAACGTATAAATTGCCATGGAAATATCTTTTGTCAAGCATGGTATCTTGCTGTATAGCTATGCTTTGCAAGGAGCAAGGAATCACTGTTCTGGTAATATAACTCATTTTAATGAAGTGAACATCAGTGATAACCTTGGCTGCACCTCCTGTTCCACTTTTTTTGTTCTTACCTCATTCTGATGTCATCTCCGATCTATCACTGAACAGATGCATGTCAACATTGAATCTATTTGTTGATTTGCTATTCTATTTCCAATTTTTTTTTACACCATTCTCCTGCACAAACATTTTCTTATGGAAATCTTAAAATCCTCATTCAGACATTTAATCCCTCATAAAAAAATCTTGGACTTTTCAGTAACTTGTTTGAAGTGATGGAAGTTGGACAGAAGAGTGATGACAGTGAAATAGTGGTTTAAGATGTTCCAACACAATCGTTATACATTCAGTGTTATCTCTATGTTTACTCACAGGGAGTCTGTTGTGTTTATGATTTAATTGTGGCTTGTGAAATCGACCCTGCCTCTCTCTTGACGAAAGTCTCCTCAAAGGTCTCTTCACCTGAGAAGAGAAATGGAGTTGATTCAAAGGTAAAAATAGAGAATTCTGTTTCATTCATCAAAGCCTTCTTATAAAAGCTTCTTAACTAGCAAGGGGTTCCTTGAATGCAAGTTACAGTACCAATCTGCGTTCACCATCATAAGGGCCTACAGAATATCCTTTTAAATAATTAAAACCAGGTTTAATTTTTAATCCTGGGTAATTGCTTATGACTTTTTTTGTGACAATGACATTGAAAATTGATGGTATTGTCCATGACAGTGGCAATGCTAAAGACAATGACAATGACAGTGGTAGTGACAGTTACAGCGGCACAGAGACAGAGACATGGATGGTAATTGTGACTTTGACAATGACAGTGACATGGCAAACATCAATTACACTGACACTGACAATGATAGTGACAGTTACAGTGGCACAGAGATAGAGACATGGACGGTAATTGTGACTTTGACAATGACAGTGACATGGCAAACATCAATTACACTGACACTGACAATGATAGTGACAGTTACAGTGGCACAGAGATAGAGACATGGATGGTAATTGTGACTTTGACAATGACAGTGACATGGCAAACATCAATTACACTGACACTGACTATGATAGTGACAGTTACAGTGGCACAGAGATAGAGACATGGATGGTAATTGTGACTTTGACAATGACAGTGACATGGCAAACATCAATTACACTGACAATGACAATGATAGTGACAGTTACAGTGGCACAGAGATAGAGACATGGATGGTAATTGTGACTTTGACAATGACAGTGACATGGCAAACATCAATTACACTGACAATGACAATGATAGTGACAGTTACAGTGGCACAGAGATAGAGACATGGATGGTAATTGTGACTTTGACAATGACAGTGACATGGCAAACATCAATTGCACTGACAATGACAATGATAGTGACAGTGGCACAGAAACAGACATAGATGTTGACTGTGATTTTGAAAATCCCAATGACATTGCAAACATCAATTACACTGACAGTGACAGTGATAGTGACAGTTACAGCAGTACAGACAGACATGGATGTTGACTGTAATTTTGACAATGACGATGACATTGCAAACATTAATAACACCTACAATGGCAATGATAGAGACAGTTACAGCGGCACAGAGACAGAGACATGGATGTTGATTGTGATTTTGACAATGACGACGACATTACAAACATTAACAACACTAATAATGGCAATGATAGAGACAGTAAGAGTGGCACAGAGACGGAGACATGTATGTTGACTGTGACTTTGACAATGAAGATGACATTACCAACATCAATAACACCAACACTGGCAATGGAAGTGATAGTGGCAATGATAACGACAAGGACCACGATAATGACAACGACACAATCATTGACTTCGATAATGATAGTAACAGTAAAAGCGGTTACGATAACAGCAAGAATAATTATAATGATAAAGATACATATAGTCACATTGATACTTTTAGTTTATTTTTAAACTTAATAACAACGATGATAATTAAACAAAACAAAATTAGAATTAGGAGATGGTGATCTTTACCCTTAATGAAGCAATTCAACTGATTACGAAAGTGGAGAATTTAACTTGGGACTTCCTGCTGATTCAAAGGATAGACAACGTTATCTACTGAATAAATCGCTCTAAGATTGAGAGCGCAGTACGTTTTATTGACATCTATCTGGACAGCGATTTATCCTTTGGATAGCGTTATCTTCCTTTTGAACAACTGGGCTCAATTATCAAACCGCTTTTAAGCTTTAGACTATCTCCTCACTGATGCTAATTATGCTGCTCTCTTTGTCGTAGGAGAAAAATGAATCAACCCTCTGGATAAAGCTTGCTTATCGCCAGATAGTCCTGTTCCTTGCCGGAATAACTCTTCTAGTCGGTCGCTGGCGCATCATGGGGTCTTCTCCTCCAGTTTTCCAAGTAGTGGATAATCCTGCATCCTTTGAGGAGTCTCTTATTATGAGAGTGAGCAATACTCTGTATACATATTTACTTTTGAATATTTTTATTTGAAATGCAGTCTTGGGCTTGCTGTTTGAAATTTGAGAATTGGAACAAAACAACAAATGTTCTAACCGTACAAAATTGGAAAATTAGGTAGCGTATGGAAGTGCTTCTCATGCACATGATTTTATCAACGAACACATATGGAGTTTTACGTAATTTTTTTCCCTCAGACTTTAGATTCCGGCACCATCTAGAACTGCAACACAAATTTACCAGCTTGTGTAAGCGAAAATAGTGCTTCAGTTACAAGGTCTCACGCTCATGAGTTTCAAACGAGGAGTTTAAAGGTGTTCCTTCACGATGTATCCAGGCGGGTAACCGGTCAAGTCGCCCGAGGGTCATCTCGCCTGAGGCCATGTCGCCCAAAACCTGAGTCATGTTGCCCGAAATTTTAGTTATGTCGCCCGAAAAAAAAAGTCAAGTCGCCTGAAGAAACAAATACTAAAAAGATCAGAATTTCAGACTGTAAATAGGCAATAAAGTTGAGAAATTTTATCACTAATGTGCTCTTTGTTTCCGACAACACCATGAAGATTATAAAAGTGTTGTTCGTTCCTAACAACAAAGGGAAAAGGTAACTTTCGGGGCTCTAGAGAAAGTTTCAGGATAGAAAAGACTGACAAGGATTATGCCTAAACCAAGATATCAGATAACTTGATATCTTAAGTTGTGACAAGAAATCAATACTTTTCGTTGTTCACAGGTCATCAACTACAACTACCTGTACGCTATCAATGCGTGGCTCCTGATTGTACCACAATGGCTGTGTTTTGATTGGTCCATGGGATGCGTGCCGTTGATCAACTCCTTGTCTGATCCGCGCATGCTTTGTATCGTCGGTCTGTGGACAGTGTTACTGGTGCTTATCGCTTACTGTGTTTTCGGGAAGAGTTTACCAAACAAACGGTATGTTTTAACGACATTGCCGGTTTTCAAGCTATGCAGGATAATCTACATCTAGGTGGCCTTTTTTTATACCACCCATCGCCCACTTTCGCTGGGTTGTGGCTTTGGAAGGAGACCAAATAATTACATCAACTAGCAACTTTACCTACGATATATTTCCAATCCATAAAGGCCATGGCCTACCTTTGAAATACCATTCTTCGTTAAGGGTTTGCTCAATGTCTTCTTAGGATTCTGACGCTGGGATTAGCCTTCGTGGTTGTACCGTTTCTTCCTGCGACGAACATCTTCTTCAGAGTTGGTTTTGTTGTGGCTGAAAGAGTTCTGTATCTCTCTAGTATCGGTTCCTGTCTCCTCACTGTCCTCGGGTTTACTTTGCTAAGCAAGTTCCCACTGGGAAAGAAGGTGAGTAAGGGCCACACTTTGGATATTTGGAGTCTCTCTCGTGTTCAGCATGCTCACACGGCTTGCAATCCTTAAAACTCAGATATGGACCCCCACATAGAGACATCCAGGAACCCACGATGGAAAACGATGCTTTGGAGAAGAGGGGAGGAAATGAAGCGAGGAATGCATAGGAAGCCGCCACGCTTAAACACATAGAAATATACCTCGTGTTGTCGCAGAACAAGTGCACAGAGTTTGAACCAAACTCTGATACCTCTGATCTCTATAAACATTCCAGCGAAGCGCTTTTTGTTATTAACCTAGATTAACTGCATTTATATATTAAAGAAGTTTTCTTATCCTTTAAGGTTATAGGATTCGGTATGGTCTTGCTCATAGCTCTGTATTTGTCGCGAACAATACAGGTAAGGTGTGAATCTATGCAGCTTTTTCTTTAAATACTTCAGATTACTTTGAATACGAGAATATCAACGGTATATTGCGCTTTGTTTTTCAGAGATCAGGTGAATGGATAAATGAAGACACGTTATTTACGTCAGGATTGTCAGTTTGCCCGCTTAATGCTAAGGTAATACATTTGAATTTTGAAGGAAATTTGATATCATTTGTTCTAGTTTGGATTTAGTCAAAGTTCATGGGATTTTCATACGATTTTGCGTGCCTTTAAGTCAAGGTTCAAGCTTGTTTGCAACGAAGAACTGATCAGTGTGCTGCAACACCCTCTGAAGTAAACGAAAAGGTTTCTTTCTCATTGCATGCGCTCCAAAAAGCTGTGTCGAACATTTGTTAAACGCGTTGCAATAAGTAATAACGGTAGGCAACAAATCCGGTACCAACTGCCTCGTGAAAGCTGAATTCGAGCCAAGTGTCTTGGCGAACTAACTTGTGTGTGTTAAACTGTTCATTTGCACCTTAAACAGGTGCACTATAACGTTGCTAAAGTACGAGGAGAAAAGGGACGAATTGAAGCTTCCGAAGCATTTTATAGAGAAGCTATCAGGTAAAGATCTTTGTCAGCTATAATGATCTGTTGTCTGTTGCTTTGTGCTCAAATCTGGCGTGTAAATACTATTATATGAACTATATAAAGCGGAGCAGGCCATAACTACCGCAGATCTTCTGTTGAGATCTTCTTGACCAATTTTCTTGCCGCACGAACTCGCAGACAGCTATTTTTTATACCCACGAGAAGCGGAGCATTTTGAGAGTGAAATGTCTCGACATGAGAATAGACTTCTGTTTCAGATTAATTAGCAATTATTTCATGAGTATGTGTCTGATTGGCTATAACCAATCTCGTATCCAACAAGCGCGAATGGAATGACTTTTATTGAGTTGAATTTTCCACAACGCACAAGAGTAGTGTTTGTTTCCAGCCAAAAGTAGATTTAGCTCTACAACACTTGGGTAATTCATTTTCCATATAAGTTGAATCGGCATATGAGCTGATAACCGGAGCTGAGTGAATCACTCAGACCACTAGAAATGCAATTTCTGGAATCTGAAATTTTAAAATTCCGAATATCTTTGCACTCCTCTTGGAGCTCACGCTGCTCACAACTATACGTCTCCACTTTTTTTCCGAATATATCTCGCTTTCATGGGAGTGCTCTCTGAATTTAACGTCCTTGATTGAACACAATGCAATGATGATACTTAAGTGTTAGTGAAAACTTACCAGTACTCCCCATGTCATGTTCGAGATGACTGTCCTAAGTTCACATAACCTCCTCCAACCTACACACTGGGTTCTAGCGTAAGCTAGAACCCAGTGTGTAGCTCTTTTCCAACCCGAGACGTTTGTTTTCATTATTTATCGCGCAGGTTGAATCCAACGTATGATCAAGCGTTGAATAATCTGGGAAACCTAATAAAGGTAAACGTATATTTTCCTACAGCTATAGACGATGCCTGTAACACCAGCGCCGTCTTTCCTTTGTGACGCTTCGAAATACTTCTGTTTCTGATTGGGCGTAGTTATTGAAAATTCTTTTCTTCCTTCAAATTTTAATTGGATAAAAATCAAGTTATCAGGAAGTCTACCCGGTGGTTTACCAAGATTGGTGTTGGTTTCTGATTCAATATATTGAAAATTAAATGGGAAAATCTTAGTAAATTTGTGTGTCAAAAGACCCTCATAAAGATTTCTAGTGTAAGCATTAATTTGCTTGATTCTGAATCATACGGACAAGTTTTTGAAATTTACGGAGTACAATTGGAATTTTTTTTTTCTGGGGAAACATAAAGAGGATGAAGAAGAAAAAAACATTCCAAAATTGTCGTCGATGTGTGTGTGTATGTGTCACTTTGATTTCTACTGACTGGCCTCTGGGGGAATTTTCAATCAGTTAACTTGATACGTTATTTTCCTCGGGTGTGTTTCTTCTTAAAGAATGAAGGCTTACTAAGAGATCATTCTCTGTTTAAAGGACAACGGCAGATACGAAGAGGCAGAAGCACTTTTAGAGAAAGCTATAGAAATTAGGTTAGTGCTGAAGCGAGGTACAACGTTTTATTTATAACATTTATCTCATGACTCAGGTCTATTCTCAGTAATTGCCATAGATTTGACTTCTAGTGATAATTTCTAAGTGTTAACCCTATGAGTGACCAGCATCTAATTTCTCTTTACAATAATACTGCCCAATTATTCATTAAGATCATGATAGCCAACCTACGAAGTTTTGATTGTTAAACGAATTCTCCGTTTTAGTACCAAAGGAAATGTAAAGAGGAGTGTATAGAGAATATTGATACTCATGTTGGGGTGTAAAAGATCGATAACGAACCTTTTAAGCATCGATTATTTATCGTCTATTTCCTTAACCTGTTTATCATTCATGTTTTCGGTCAATCTGTAAACCGTGAAATCTGCTGTGTGCTTTTATTTGAAACAGGAATGATTTTGCCGCTGGTTGGATGAACCTTGGAACTGTCAAAGCAGCTCTGCAAAAACCCGATGTAAGTAACCAAGAAATAAGAAATTATGTAACATTCCAGAATTTTGCCTGACTCTATTCTAGAATCATCTAGCGAGATCTATTGTAGCCCTCAATGTAATCTTTTGTGGCCCCTAGCGCGATCTTTTCTGGCCCCTAGCGTGACTTGCGTCCCAACGGTTCTGTCACCTCTTCCATATTGTCATGATAACTCCTAGCCTTGGATTTTTCCTAATTTTTTACTCTAAACTTTATTTTAAGGAGGCAGAAAAGTGTTACAGCAATGCCATACGCTACAGACGGAAATATCCAGACGCATATTTCAATCTTGGAAATCTGGTAAGAATTTTACTGTGTGTTTATTAACAAGAGTTCACATGACACTTGTTTTCTTTTTGGATTATTTACGTTGTCATTTTTCCTTCAGTACATAGACCAAGAAAAGCACAAAGAAGCCATTGTAGCGTTTAAGATGGCTGTCAATATAAAGAACAATCACGTGGGCGCGTGGATGAATCATGCTTTGCTATTGGAGAAGTCAGGTAAACGTTTAATGAGAGAGCTTTAGGCTACTCCCGGCACAAAGCCTTTTACTGTGTTATTTTAGAAGTGAAAACTATCGTGGTCTGTTGCTAGCGCGAAAAAATTTGAAACCCTGAGGAGCGACTATGAAGTACAGGCTCGAAGGAACCACGATAAGGCAAATTTTAATTCATTTGTATTCCGTTCCTCCTTTACACACTTATTAGTTTCTCAACAGGGAGGGGTCTGGGTACGCGGCATGTGAAAATCTGCAACCGGTGTCAAGGGCGGGAATACGTGTGACATTTCGAACGGGCGGGAAACGTGTGACATTTCGGAAGGGCGGGAAACGTGTAGACAGTGCTAAGGGCGGGAAATCGTGTCGCTGGTGGCAAAGGGCGGGTGAAAAGTTAGAGGATGCCAAAGAATTAAAAGTGACGTCATAAAATGTCTTCGACAGGGCATGAGGGAAATCATAACTTTCTCATGAACGATTATTGTGACAATTCAATTTTTCCTCTTTTTTTATCGCGCAATAGCTCTCTATGTTTAAAAATGAATGTAGGTCAATTTCCCTTTACAGAATTTGGAATAGTAGTTTAGATAATCGCAGAGGAAGCTTTTGCGTTACTAGCTCCTCTTCTATTTTAACAACGATCAAGGGGAATTTGGTTCATTTCTTTTGGTGTCCAAGTAGGTTATGGGTTTAATATTTTTATAAGCTGATTTTATTTGGGGCTCAATATAGAAGAAATATTTCGATTAATTGTTTTAAAGCCAAAACTGAGGTGATACAACAGCCAATCATGGGAAAGGGAATTATTGCATGAAACCAATGAGAACTCAAAATGTAAACAAGCAAACAGCTCGTAGCGCGGGAAAACGCGAGTGCCCAGGTCGTAATTGTTTTTAGTCTTAGTCTGACTGGTTGAGAGAGGGACGCAAGTTTTCTGGACCAATCACACAGCGAAGAAAAGCAAAATAAAAGCAATCCTGGATTGCTTTCGACACTGAATCGAAAAATGATGATGTTTTGTTTAGTTTTTTTGTGTGTATATGTGAGTGCGCGTTTTTCCATTAGGTAATAGAGATGAGGCGATATCTGTTCTTCTGGAAGCAAAAAAGTACATTGGCAATGAATCAACAGTTTACTTCAACCTTGGTAACATGCTGGGACAGAACAACAAATTCCAGGTACATGACTGGATATAGCCAGTAAGCAGGTTCTCATTTGCTTTGTACCTGCGCGTTCTGAGCCCGCGAGAAAGGCGAGTGCGCATGAGGTCAGCGAAAGTTCTGGCACGAAAGTGATTTTAAAAGCCCAACCCCTTACAAACCTCTCGCACGCTTGCTCCGCTCGCCGGGCTAAATCTCGTAAGCTTCAACGCTTATGCCGCAGCGCGAATGAAAGCCTGCGCGCCGGCATGAAAGGTTGAGGTAAGTACATTTTTATGCATTCGAAAATAGATTTTCTTTAGGGTTAGGGTTAGGGCTATTGATTTGTCATCCGAAAAATAAAAACAAACAAAAAACCAAACACTCAAACACAAAATCCGAACTTTGAAAGCTGATATTTCATTATATTTTACTCAACTTCAACAATCGAAAATGGCAAGGTTGTAACACCCAATAGTAGGTCTGAACTTCTTGACCAAAAAGGAGATTTGTTTGATGTACGCCATATATAATGACCTAATCGATTGGAGCGTTTTTGATTTACAGGAGGCCGAGCAACAGTTTCTGGAAGCTCTCAAATTAAGCCCAAATTCTGCTGAAATTCATGGCAATCTAGGTAAGAATTTCATACTCAGTGATGCATGTTTAACAGTGACATATATTCATATTACTGGAAGGTAACAAAAAACTGGTCTTACACTGTCTACACCTACAAGAGCAAGATATTGATTACAACAGAGATTTATATCAATAGCACTCTTGTCGAATTCGCTGATGATCTCACTAGGATTTGAAAGTAAGCGATCTAAAAACCGTTAGGGAGGTAAGGGTATCAGGGAAATAATCGAGAGCTCGGCGTATCCAGTTAAGAAGTCAGTGGGATGGATACTTGGGAAGGAAAGGGGAGATGGAGGTATCTGGTCACAAAGACGGAAGTGGGGTATCCGTGGGGATAGGTGATGGAAATACTTGGGTAAGAAGTGTGAGTTGCGGGGGAGGAGAGAATTGAGAAAAATGGGGTGGTGAGATATACGGTAAAGAAGGAGAAGGAGGGGGTATCTGGTAAATGGAAGACAATTTCCAAGAAAGAAATAATATCGTAAAATTTCATTTTAGGAAAGCTAAGCCCAGTTTGAATGCGAACTTGCCTTTTTTTCGCTTTTTTAAACAGGTGTGTTATACCACAGATGGGGAAAACACAGCAAAGCAGAGAAATGCTACACAAAGGCATTGCAGTTGGATCCACAAAGCGAAAATGTGCACGAAAACCTTGAAAAACTAAAAAGAACGAAACGGCATTTAGCCAACGGAAGATCCAAAGGGCGATGAGATAAACGAGAAAAATTATTTTTGTATACGGTTGAATATTTTGTTAAATTTCTAGATCTGGTCCAGGTTGTTTGAAGTAATATATCAAACACGAGGAAGAGTGTTTCATCCGATATCTAAACACCGAGAAGTGGTTGAAAAAACGAGGCGCAACCGAGTTTTTGTTTTAACCAACTTCAAGGTGTTTGGATATCGGATTAAACAACCTTTCGAATTTTTGATATAGCTTCTCAAACCATTGATAATTCTTGGAGAAAATCAAAGCAAAAGTTCACCAAATTTTATGATAATTAAGATCACATATCCAAACCTCCTTCACGGTTGTAATTTCCTTTGTTTTCTCAGCATGAATTAGTAATGAGTTTAAGAAGGGTAGATAACGCTATCCACTGGATGGCCAGTATCCACTAGATCCAGCTTTCAGTGCGTTTTGTTAACACTTATCCGTTGGATAGAGTTATCCGCCCTTTATACAACTGGAACCTGTTTAACGTTTTACTTTTTGTGAGATCTCAAAGTTAATTTGAGATTGCACAGCTTTCGCTGCTCAGTTGGGTAAAATGCATAGTTACCTTCAAGTTTTGGCAACTTTGAAAAAGATTTATTGTTCTGCACTTATTATTATTTTTTTTCATTGAATAGCATGTAATGCTGACTTATTTATCTTTAGTCAAATTTTTTCTCGAATAAAACGAAGCAAATAACCGCGAGTCTTTTGGTTTCTCGATTATATGACAGAGACTCCATGTAACGTGCTAATTAGAAATCATTTCATATAACATTTAATTGGGACTTGTACATTTGCTTTCATATTGTGATTTTGGTAATCCGATATTTTAATCAAATTTCAATCCCGACGCTCTTGTAGTTGAAAAAAAAAATCAAATATGGCTACCAAGCTTTATCAGTCGTGATATAAAATGGTCTCCTGAACATCCTGGAAAAACCCCTCGGGAATATTTTTGTTCGCTGAGGTAATTTTGTGGGAAAAAAAACTGAACTTTACTTTGATTTCTCTCAAAATTCGTCCAAAAAAAGGTGTAACTAACACCGGCAACTGCCATGGCTATTGTTCAATAAGGGCGCTTGGATGTGTTTCCTTGCGCATTGCGGCTGTTAGCTGCGGAGCCAAGTGTGTTACCCGTCTGTCCAATAGAATGCCCAAGCGAGTGTCACGGAGAGCGAGAGGGGGATAATTTCAAAGTCTTCACGTCACCTGGACATGCACACTGAGAACGTCTACTTGTGTTTGCCAAACAAAGATGAAAACAGGGCCTCAACCGCGAGCACAAGTTATATCCTGCAATTTATCAGTATACGATTTAGTGTGACTCTTGGTCATTTTTTCAAAGCTGCTGACAGCTTTGCCCACCCTATAAGGGACCAGCTTTCATTCATTTTCCGAAAGGTGTGGACGATTCTTTGGGGGAATCCCATTGGCCTTGAGGTGAAATGGAGGAGGAGGAGGGGGAGAAAGGGGTCAGTCGTCGCCAATAGAGGATAAAGGGGGAACTGTAGAACATTGGCTGCCAATGAGGTGGGGGAGGGGAGGGGAGGGGGGAATAGGAATATCACAAAATCCTATGTGGGGATAAAATCATCTAACTTTAAAACTAAACTAAAATCCTCTAACTCTCCTTTCTTTCTTTACACTCTCTCAGCTTGGTGATGCATCACTATTGTTGGGAGAAATTATGTATTAATCACCGGCCCCTGGGACTGAAAAAAATAATGGTAATACTAGAGCTGTGTAGAGCTGTGTAGATAAATCTAATTAAGCCCACCAATATTTTGGAACACTTAAATTTGTTTCCCAAATAGGCACGCAGAGTGCAAAACGCTAACAAATCATGAAACGCTGGCGTATTCCTTTGAATGTTCGAAAATGGTAGTTTAATTAACTCATTTATTCATATCAAGGAAAGACAACACTGTTATTCAAGAAATAGAACTTAAACCTAGTGGTTAAAGAGATGCGGAGGAGCTGATTCTCTTCAACGACCTAACCATGGTTGTCAAACCAACCTTGTAGCAAAGTAAGCCGGAATGTTACAGTAGATTAGGGGGGAACCGTCTAACATATACTTTTGGGCATAAACGCTGCTAAATGTAGCGAGATCCCTGTTGTGCCAAATTTCCATGTTACTGGTATTTTCATTTCTGACTTGAACCTTGGGATAAATGTTTCAGTAAGTTTCCTTTGATTCTGAATAGAACGGTATCACCGAGATATTTAGAATGTTTTTCATCCGGAGTAAGAGTTTGACCCAAAATTGTTCTGACATATACAGCTTCAATTATTTCATTTTGAAAGTTATTCTAAAAAGCATGAAATCTGAGTTGAAACCTCTCTTAAACCAGTTAAAAGTTGTATTGACGTGCACCAAGGTTTATTCCGGCTCTTAACCATTTTTTTGGAGTTAATTAATTCTGATGTTATCTCCTTCTACTTTGGTTCTCTAAATATTCAATTATGACCATATGATAATCTACATATAGAATTGTGGAGACCTTTGCATTCTTGGTGTCAACTTCATAACTAATTTCTGCCGTGTAGACTTCCCATTAAGTCAGCCACAGTTCCATGTAGCCACCATGCATCTTGTCGAGAGGTTGGGTTCAGTTAAGGTTTGGGAACTTAAACAACTTAAAGCTGAATCACTGATAAGATTCCCGTCTATAAGTTGTGCACTTAAAGAATTAGCAGACGCTTTAAATTTGCAGATATCTGAGAACTGACTTAGATAAATGGATACCTTTTTTTTGTTAAGCAGAAACTCCAAATTATTCTAGCAACAATATATGAACGGAACAACTGTAAACACACGAAGCGAAACGGTCAATATTCGCCATGGCTGTGCAATTTTATCTTATACCGATGGTTTTTCGCATCAAAATTTTGAATGAATACGATTCTATCCAAGTCAAATTTAAGAGGATGATTCTTGAGCTTTAAACCCTGTATTTAATTTTTTTCTGTTTTCGATTGACCATTTTCAAATTTTGGCAAATTTTGTAAATTCTGAATTGAATTACTAGGGAATTTTCAAAACGTTGCTCTTTTTTCGCCATCACGTCAAGGAGAAATTTCTGCGAATTAATACCCGATCTATCATTGCATGAATATCCTTGACATGACCTATGCTCCACTCTAATGCCGGTTCATGATAAAAATCGATGATTAATTGCAAACACTTCCTCTGTCTCACGGCAATAATTGGATTTTGATGACGCAGAATTAACGTTGACTTTGATGAGCTTTCCACCAGTCATTATAGTCTTATCCCTGCGTCTGTCTTTGAGGCGGATTAACCTTAAGTCGGATTTGTTTTGAAAACATTTTGAAGTTGAATAAAAGCCACGCAAGATAATTCCTCGAGTGGGTTTAACGCACATTTCCTTTTTCCACGTTGTGGACGAAGTAAATGACAGCCTCTTTACAGAAAACATGCAAATCAGCCGACCGAAGTCACGCTAATGGAAACTCTTGTTGTCAGGCAAGGATAGACTATGTTTACTGTTGATCGAGTGAAACTTAACCCTAATAATCATTTAAACCTTTTTTTGTGGCAGGTGTTAGCGTGTTAGGGGATCACTCTGCCGTTTTTACGCCCGGCTTTTTTTAAACCGTCTTCTCGAGGAAACAAAAGTTTTGGCGGAATCATAACCAAGCGTAAACTTTTTTACCTTGTGGTGAGCGGCGAAGGATCTTTTGTTCCGTAGTATTAGAGTTTATTGTATATCTTGACAAGGACTTCCTTACCGAGCTTTTTTCGGCGAGTTGTGATGGACATTGAACCATTTACTTTCTTTGTGTTATCAAAACACTTTTAAGATCTTACTGCCTCTTTCCTACAGAGGTGTGACAACCGGCATTTAACTTACACAATGGCATCTGCTTATTAACCAATTTCAAGTCAAAACATGTTTGTTTTACAATTATCAGTGCTCTCAACCTTAGACATTGTGCTGATAAAAGAAAATATATTACCGCGTAAACTTACAAAGGAGGTTTTTCAAGTCACGAATGGTTTATCCGATAAAACGAAGTTAGTTACGTTAGTAAAATACTATTATGTGATTTTGTGAGAATGCCTGGATACCAAAACTTGCATGAAAAATGGGAATGCGTGAGATAAAAAAAGAGATTTAACATCGATGCAAAAACTCAAATCGTTTATTCTATTATTATGTAGCATGTGTGTGTATATTGTTCCTCAATGTATAAATTCAGCGTTAAAGACACAGAGTCTTACATAAACAGTGTGTTTTTAGCAAACTACGTGTAGATTAAACGATTAGCGACACTCTGAAGCCACTCGAGCCTATTAACCTGTTATACGACTGAGAGGTAATTCCTCTTGGGCATAAGTAAGATCACTTAAGGTTTAATCCATATAATAGTGAATATTTACAAATACTAAAAGGTCAACCGAGAATATTAAGGCATACAAATCCTTTTTCATTTATGAAAACTTCCCTATTTACTTAATATGATGTAATGGCAAAGTAAAGAAGCTAAGTCCAATAGTTTAAGACGTCTTTGCAATCTGATTTATAGCCGAGGGAATAAAGCACAGGTTGCAGAACTTTCAAGTGCTGACAAGTTCAGTCACTAACGTACTTTTTGATTCGTTTGAAATGTAAAATTGCTTCCGTAGAGTCCTCGCTGCTAGGCCATGGCTTTGAGGTGCTCTGTGAGGAAGTCGAGAAAGTTGGGAGTAGATAGGTAACAAGCGCGCACTTTAAAGTTATGAAAATCGCATTGAGAGTTATGATGCTACAGTGAAAATCAACGTATATTAAATCTATTTATTTTATTCCATTCTATAAAGGATATTTATTTTCTTAACATTTGGTCGTAAAAATTAGCGGCTTCCAAGGCAGCTGGCTCCTTGTGTCGTGGACGCCGTTCCTGTCGCGCGGTGCAGACCGAGCAGAACTTTTATTCAAAGCACACGATGTTAAAACGTGCTCAATATCTGGAGATGACACCTGATATTTTCACCTAAAATAACTGGAAACATTTTAGTGCAGGTGGACTCGTTTAGAAGTAAAACTTTGATTTTAGTTGTGTTTTATTGTTCCGACTCGTGGCCGGCAGCAATCACACATCGGCAAGTCTTTGCAACCGCAAAAACTTGAGAAGAGAAACAAAATCTTCTCTCCTTGGAACGTGTAGCATCGCGTTAAGATTGTATATTCATTATTGAAAGTATCCCAACCGAATTCGGGATAATTGCGTGAAAACGAGAAGATAGGATTAACCATCTACTTCTTTTGAGAATCATTATACAGTCATTATGGTAGAAATAAATATAAACGATCTATTGTTCTTCACAAAAGAACAGAAGCCTCCAGCAAAGTGGATAGAGTAAAATGTTTTAGACCCGGTCATCTATTGCGTCATTAGATTTTATCCCACAACACGTTATGCCGTTTTATTTAGGTTGACATCTAAGAAATCAAGTATATATTAGAGGTTTGGTAAGAGTATTAAATTCCGTTTTTCCCTGTTTTTGTTCTATCAAGTCCCTGTCACTTTATGGTCACTCAGTGACATGGAGGCTTCCATAAACACATGGAATCAACTTGAAACATTTTTACCTTAGATAGGAAGAAAGAATTTTATATTGCATTTTTTTTCCCAAGGAGGAAATATGTTAGCAAAATCACGCCGAAATAGTCGGTTTTAAGGCCCCGTTTTTA